GCTCAAGTGATCCACCCATCTTGGCCTCCCAAAGTGCTGGGATTATAGGCATAAGCCACCATGCCCAGCCAAAACAATGCAGTTTTGTCATCCTTACAGTTCAGTAGATCAGGTATCTGGTGGGCTCAGCTGGTTTCTCTGCTTCCAGTTTTTCAAGGTATTGGCAAGCCTAAGCTCTGGGGAGAGAAGCCACTTTCAGGCTCATTCAGATTGTCAGGTTGTCATAGAATTCAGTTCCATGTGTTCTTACTGCAAAACCGCAACAGTGGGGCGAGTTTTTGTCAAGCTCTGAATCTCTCCTGCCCTTTCTTCTACTACATTCCTTCCTCTGACTCTTTTGCCTTCCTTGTCAGTCATTTTGTGTGTGTGTGTGTGTGTTTTTTTTTTGAGAGAGAGTCTTGCTTTATTGCCCAGGCTGGAGTGCAGTGGTGTGATCTCAGCTCACTGCAACCTCCGCCTCCCAGGTTCAAGCAATTCTTGTGCCTCAGCCTCCTGAGTAGCTGGGATTACAGGTGTACACCACCACGCCCAGCTAATTTTTACATTTTCAGTAGAGACGGGGTTTCGCCATGATGGCCAGGCTGGTCTTGAACTCCTGACCTTGAGTGATCTGCCCACCTCAGCCTCCCAAAGTTCTGGGATTACAGGCATAAGTCACCATGCTTGGCCCTCCTTGTCTACTTTTAAGGGCCCACGTGATTGTACTGGGCCTACCGGGATAACCTTAAGTCCATCCACAAAGTCCCTTTTGCCAGGTAGTGTAACAGGCTCCAGGGATTAGGCTGTAGAAAGCTTTGGTGGGGTGGCCATTATTCTGCCTACCATATGCTCCATCCCTGAAAAAAAAAAAAAAAAAGTAAGCTGTTCTTATTAGTGTGATGACCTTAACTTTTTAAAACATCTTTTAATATTATGTAAGAATGGAATGAAATGTAACTCTACACAGATATCATTATGTATTCATTCTAGAAAAAGCATTTCAAAAATAGGACTGTTTGCTATTCCCCAGTTCTTTAATCAGCTTTCTTTTTCTTCATTACATTTGTCAGTCAATATGTATTTGTCTGTCTCCCCTACCCCCTCCCCCCCCCCCCCCCCGCAACCCCCGCCACCTTCACCTTCTGGAAAGAGTGCTCCTTGAGGGCCAGGTGCTAAGTTATATTCCTCTTTGTGTTTCCAGCACCCAGCATGGTGCCTGGCACATAGTAGGTGCTTAATGAATGCAGAAGAAATAGACACTCATTGTTACATGCTCAAAAAATGGTAATAAGCAGGGTTGGTGGTATTTTCTTGAAGGGGCTTCTCTATTAATAATGGCAGTAAAAAGATGAAAATTCCTTGTGTAAAGAGCCACACAAGATAGCCAAATGATGTTAATGACTAGGCTTTTTTTTCCCCCCCCAAACAAATATGTGCTTGAAATTATATATCCAGTCTTTGGAAATGAACTTAATTAGTAATATGAGCTCTAACTACATGCCAGATTCTGGGTTAAATATTTCACAAATATTTAATCAGCACAAAAAGTCACATGGCAAACAATAATGAGTCAATATTTGTTGAGTGCCTGCCACATATCAGACACCATCCTAAGTCCTTTAAATGAAAAATCTTTTACAGTTCTAAAATAAAACCTTTTTTCTCTACATTCACAACACTTGTAGTGCCAAATATATAAGGTCTTTTTCTGTACCAGCCAGTTCTCCAATTCCCAATGAGTACTAACTGGACCTCCTACAGTTTAACTCACTACCTACCTGGAGTTAGCATCAGATCCCATAGGTTAAGGACTCAGTCCCACAAGACTCTCCCCACTTCAGACACCAGTTGCAAGTCCTAGGTCGTGACCTGCACTTCAGACTGACTGGCTATAGGGGGGTTCCCACCCCCTCCTCAGGTTCGATGATTTGCTACAATGACTCACAGAACACAACTGTTACCATTACCAGTTTGTTAGAAAGGATACGATTCAGGAATAGCCTAATGGAAGAGATGCATAGGGCAAAGGATGGGGATGGGAGTATGTGGCGCCAACTTGGAAGCCCTCCAAATTATGTCATTTAGGGTTTTATGGAGGTTTCATTACATAGGCATGGTTGATTAAATCAGTAGCTATTGATAATTAACTCAATCCCCAGTCCTCCCCTCCCAGGAGGTTGGGATGGAGCTAAAAGTTCCAATCCTCTAATTACATGGTTGGTTTCTCTGGCAATCAGTGTCCATTCAAGAGTCACCTTATTAGCATAAATTCAGGTGTGCTTGAAAGGAGCTTATTATTAATAAAAAAAGATGTTCCTCCCACCCCATCTACTCAGGAAATTCCAAGGGTTTTAGGAGTTTTGTGTCAGACAAAAACCAGATATATATTTCTTGTTCTATCACAACATTCCAGCCTCATAATGCCCCTAGAAGTAGGTAATTATTAATATTTCCAGTTTACAGATGAGGATCCTGAACCACAGAAAGGTTAGGTAACTTGCCCAGAGTCACACAGCAAGGCAATGGCAGCGGCACAGTCAGGACCCAGATAGTCTCTTGAGAGAGCCTGTGATATCCACACCTACACTTCTTGGAGTGCTGTGTCGCTTTTGAAACATTTCTTAGAGAAGCCATGCTTCTGCACAGGCTTGAAAGATGAATAGAAGTCGGCCAGGTAGGTGTTCTGGGTGGGAGAAGGTGAGAGGAAAAAAGAATGCTCCAGGCTCTAGAAGTTGCCTGAGCTAAAGACATGAGGTGTGAACCCAGGTTTTGAGGAGAGACGAGTTGAGAGAGCAAGTCTGCTTTTTCTGTGGACAGCACAGGAATGGAAAATCCAAGAGTCGCCAAGTGCAGCCAGGAAGGAGGCTCCGCCTGTTCCCACAGTGACCCACAGGAAGGGCTCTCAATGGCTTCTCTGTGATGGCAGCCCCAATCGTGTCATGAAGCATTCATTTGTTGCTTGTCTTCCGGGTCAGCTTTAAAAAATTAGTTCTGTCCCACAGAACTGCCCTGATTTCCCCAAAGCCACCATATGTGGATTTATCTAAGTTCTTCCTGTACCTAATCATGCTTCTGGCACCATCTCTTGGAATAAGAAGTTGTTTAACACCCTTTTCACAAAGTTACACTTTTGATTTGTCCTGAATTTACCCCTTGTAGCCTCTAAGCATTATCTCTTAGTTTCTTACATTTCGGGATTTGCTGTGGAGTCTGAGGTCACTTTATCTTATTCATGGATTGCAGGCATATCTTTCAGTAGCCTGAGAAGACCTTTTGTTAGTTTGCTGTCAAATAGAAGCCATTCCCTTGCTTTACTCATTTAAATTGTCTCTTTTGGGGCTTATATAAGTCTCTTGTAGCTTTCTTTTTTTTAAAAAAAATTTAAGTTCAGGGGTTCTTGTAGCTTTCTTGAGATTAAATGGCAAGAAATTAAGTAGTCCGGTGATAATAAATGCTTTGTGGTTTTGCAGAGGTTAAGATGACAGAGTAGGGTTCATTGTTTTCATCACTGATTTAAGGGAAGAAGTAGAAGAAACTGACTCTGGGGGACTCATTTTGTGCCTGATGGTTTATCGTATCCTTCCTGATGATGTTTATCATTGTGCTTTTTCCTTAGTAAAATTCTACAGGCACTTAGAACTGAGAGCTTAGAGCCTATTACTTTATAAAGAACCATTTAATTTTTTCCATTATATGTTTGCCTATCAAAAAAGTCATCTGCTACTTTTCTACTCAGTCATGTCGCATTTGGGAATCTTCCCAGAGTTGTCATTGGGTTAGCAATCAGTCACCCTGCAAATGGAGGCATTTCTGTGCTCTCTCTCTTCCATGATTTATAAAAACGTAAAATCAAATTGGTCTCTGGAGTGTCTCCTTGTTTCTATTTCCTGAATCACAGAAGGGCCTATTTAACTGAGCTATTTCCATATCCATCACTAAACATTCCTGAAATACCGAGGGGATTCAGTTTTTAAAAATATCTTTGCGGTTGGAAACTTTAGGAGTGTATTAATAAATAGTGCTTACTAATTTCTCTCCTTTTTGTCTATGTGCTTCTCAAAGATCTTTGATTAATTATTGGTGTTACCATTGCAGGTAGAATTTACACTCGCCATGATTTAAAACTACTTGTAATTTTGGTTCAAGTTGTATTTGGTGATTGTCAGTTGTCCCTCACTTGCGGAGTTGCCTCTCCCTGTAATATTAAAGAGAATGATGATAGTAACGGCTTCACAAGCAGTCTGTGCTTTCAGAGCCCCAGTAGTACCCTCAAATTGCTGCAGTCGATCTGAGTTTTATATTAACTGTGCTGCTTCTGATACTTGCACAGAACAGATTTCCTAAACCTTAAATGAATGTTTGATTTTGCAGGTTATTTTGAAAGTTACAAGGTGGGGATGTTTAAATTGGAAGGGCATGAGAGTAGCAAGGAACTTGCTACTTGAGGGTAGATAAAATAACAGAATTGTTAGTTCGAGCTCATTTCCCCTGCTCACTGATCCCACCTTCCTAAAACTGGTGGGGAAACAAGTACCTTACCACCTGGAGCACAGTGTAGGTCCCTCTGGGTAAGGACCACAGAGAAGCCTTAACTAGTTTGTCAGGATACTCAACAAAATGTGGTTTCCACAGGCCTGCTTTGGGGATGGGGATTGGAAAGTTGCTTTTAAAAAAGCTTTTAAAAATATTCTCTATAAATCAATTTTGGCCTGTTAGGATCTAGACTATTTTAGGGTAATGAATCTGCTGAAAGATACTTCGAGGAAAATTGCAATAAAATTGAGTTTGAGCTATTCACAGACATAACCCAGCCTTTTTACTTGGGAGACTGTTTTTCTGCCTTTTGAGTTTATTTAATTTCTGCTCAAATGCTACCTCCCAATATATCTTTGAAAGTTTGCTGACATGGGATGTTTGACTGTGAGCTCCAGAGCTATACAAGTGATTTTAAAAGTTTTTTCTCCCCTTTCTTTGAGATCCCTTTTGTACAACTAAGCATGTGCCCTCTTGTTTGTTCCCAGGACGGCCCAGATTCTGCCAGAGGAAACCGGACAAAACAGGAGAGCGCATGGATATTCAGGCTGTGGTACAGCTTTGATCACAAGTATCCTTTTAAGTAGCATCCCCTGTGTCAGTGAAACATTGGGGATGAAATCTTGTTGAATTGTCAGTGAATGACACCTGGTAAGTAAGGAAAGATGCATGCTTGGGACAGGGATAGTTCGTCCTCTCATGGAACATGTACATTGAGCATTCAACCATGGGTAGTCCTGGTGAGTATCTGGCCAAGAGGAATGTTTGCATATCCTTAGAGTAATTACCCCACAACCTGGTAGACTCATGTAGTTCTTAAGAGCTTTGTGTCTAGGGAACTATGCCTTTTTAGGTGATTAGATTAAAATTACACAATGAATCATGCTGTGGTCAGAAAAGGAAGTAGAACTTCAGCTGTTAATCCCTATGGGGAGGATAATTCCTATTGGATGAACTTGGCCAAGTCTGATCTTGTATGATCTGACATTGGCATAACTGGACCACATGCAGGGCAAACCCTGTTCCTGTAGATTCACTTGCTCTCAAGTGAAAATTAAAAACCAAAATCTTAAACCCTCTTGGTTTTTTTGTTTTGTTTTGTTTTGTTTTGTTTTGTTTTGTTTTGAGATGAGGTCTCACTCCGTTGCCCAGGCTGGAGTGTGGTGGTGCACTCGGCTCACCGCAACCTTCCCCTCCTGGGCTCAAGCAATCTTCCCACCTCAGCCTCCCAAGTAGCTGGGACCACAGGTGCATGCCACCATGCCCAGCTAATTTTTTGTATATTTGGTAGAGAGAGAGTTTCGCCATGTTGCCCAGGCTGGTCTCAAACTCCTGGGCTCAAGCAATCTGCCCGCCTCAGCCTCCCAAGGTGCTAGGATTACAGACATGAGCCACTTCGCCCAACCCCTCATGGTTTCTTAAGTTGACATAGTCATCAAATGGGCAGGTGGCTTATTATATATGGTCTTTGGAGATGCTGAAAATGTTAAAAATTTATTGAAGTATGACAGATATACAGAAAAGTACACAAATAATAAGTGCTCAGTAAATTATCACAAAATAAACACACTCATTTAACACCAAACCAACCAAGAAACAAAATTACCAAGGCTGGGCATGGTAGCTTATGCCTTTAGTCCCAGTACTTTGGGAGGCCAAGGCAGGTGGATCACTTGAGCCCAGGAATTATAGACCAGCCTGGGCAACATGATGAAACCCTGTCTCTACAAAAAATGCAAAAATTAACCAGGTGTGGTGGCACACACCTGTAGTCCAGCTACTTGGGCTCTGTCTCCAAAAAAAAAAAAAAAAAGAGAGACAGAAACAAAATTGCCAACCCCCTCATGCCATGACTCAATTACTACTCCTTCCCCCTCCCCAAATGTAATTGCTCTGTTGACTTCTAGCAACACTTAATAGTTTTACCTATTTTTCAACTTTCTATAAATAGGATTATATAGTATATATATTTTAGTGTCTGGCTTATTTGGCTTGACATCATGTGTATAATACAGCCATGTTGTTATGTGTAGTTCTAGTTCATTTGTTCTCATTGTTCCATAGTATTTCTTATATAAATATATTACAATTTATTCTATTATTGATGTACATGTCTTTTGATGTACATATACATATTTTTTTTGGTAATCTACCCAGGAGTAACATTGCTGGGTCATAGGGCATGGGTAGGTTCAACTTTAGAAGACAGTGCCAGTTTTCCAAAATAGTGGTACTACTTTACACAGTCACTTCTAGTGTATGAGAGTTCCAGTTACTCCACATCCTCACCAACATTTAGTGTCGTCAGTCTTTTTAATTTTAGCCATTCTATTGGGTTTGTAGTGGTATTTAATCATGGCTTTAATTTGCATTTCTTTCAACTTTACAATATGGTGTGAAATTGATCTGCGTTCAGTAGAAACCATACTTTGAATACCCATACAACCATCCTGTTTTTCATTTTCAGTACAGTATGTAATAAATTACATGAGATATTTAATACTGTATTATAAAATAGGCTTTGTGTTAGATGATGTTGCCCAACTGTAGGCTAATGTGAGTGTTCTGAGCACCTTTAATGTAGCCTGGGCTAAGCTGTGGTGTTTGGTAGGTTAGGTGTGTTAAATGCATTTTTGGCTTATGATATTTTCAACCTAATGGGCTTATTGGGATGTAACTGCATCATAAGTCGAGGGGCATCTGTAGTGTGTAGAGACCAGGGATGCTGCTCAATATCCTACCATACACAGAACAGCCCCCATAACAAAGAATGATCTGGCCCTAAATGTCAGTAGTGTTGAGGTTGAAAAGCCTTGTGTTAGCGTCTAGGAGAGAAGCTATGGGTAGAGTGAAGAATGGTCCTGTATGGGAAGTTGAGAGATTTACAGTCTGAGTAACCTTACTGAAATCATTTGATGTTGCCAAGTCTCAGTTTCTGCCTTTGTAGTAGCCCCAGGCTACCCCTAAGGTCCTGTCCAACTTCAACATTTCCACCACCTGCCCTCTGGGTAGAGTGGCTTAACAGGAATCCATGCAGAGAACAAGAGCAGAGGGGACACAGGGGCTGCAGCTCCCCACTCCAGGGACACTATCTCCTGTTTCCAAGGCCTGGAGCCAGTTGTGTGTCAGAGGCTGAAATGCTGATTGAAACCAAAACTTCCATTCAGCATGACAAAGGGAGAAGGGGGATCTAATTTCTAATTAATCAAATACACGTTTGAACTGAAAATTGGGAATTACCAACCCAAGAGTTAACAGTTACTATTTAAGGCTGATAGGGTGTATCTTACTCTTTGATTCAAACTGTTGCATGTTACAAGTATTTTGTGTATTGTACTAGTAAAATGGGGAAAAGAAGGTTTTTGTGGGTGGAATGTCGGGCGATTTTTAAGCACATTTTGTTGTGTATATGTTTTCTTTGCAGCCATTTTTCCTTAATTCCCATTTTAAAGTTACCTGAAGCCCATCCTTACACACAGCGGCCCCCCACTAACCACCACGCTCCCTGCCTGGTGTGGCTTGCTAGCTCGATGTCTGACCAGTCCCCAGGTGTATGATGTAAGTACTGCATGTCAGGGTTGGAGTCCTGGTCACCATGCCAGGGCAGTGTCTTACATAAGAAGAAGAAACCATCATACTTATGCCTCCAAATCCACAGATTTTTGCTTCTCTAATAAACTGATTAGAAATGGCCAACTTACCTATGTTTATAGATTTTGCACAGTAACAGAGAAACCTTTTACCAGGGTAATGGGATTCCCCAACATCGGCAGCTGTGGTATAGTAGAAAGAACACTGGATTTGGAATCAGAGCCACTGGATTGGAACGCAACCCCTGACAGGCCATAGATGTGCTCTGCATCTCAGTTCTTTTTTTTTTTTTTTTTTTTTTGAGACGGAGTCTCACTCTGTCACCCAGGCTGGAGTACAGTGGTACGATCTCGGCTCACTGCAACCTCTGCCTCCTGGGTTCAAGCAGTTCTTTGCCTCAGCCTCCTGAGTAGCTGGGATTACAGGCACCTGCCACCACACCTGGCTAATTTTTGTATTTTTAGTAGAGACAGGGTTTCACCATGTTGGCCAGGCTGGTCTTGAACTCCTGACCTCGTGATCCACCCGCCTCAGCCTCCCAAAATGCTGGGATTACAGGCGTGAGCCACCGCTCCAGGCCTACATCTCAGTTTTCTAATCTATAAAATGGGCCTAGTAGTACAGGCTGGCTGGAAGCATTAAATGATGAAATACATGAAGATACCCTGAACCACAAAACATGCAAGGATTCCTTTTCTAAATAGTTTATGTTGATATGGTTAGGCCCTTTCTTTCCATTTTCAGATTCTGGAAATAGACTGAGCACAGTATGAAAAGAACATGTACACTGGTGGACATCTTAGATTTAGGGCCGACTCCTGAACTCCTGGTGTGGGTTGCAGGGTGCAGGGCAGAGAGGTAGAGAGAGCAAGGTAGCTACCCACGTGGAAGGAGTAGAGGAGAGGTCAAAGGCCTTCCTTCATCCCTCCTCGGCCATCCTAATCATCTTGTCCCTAACACAGTCATTATGCCCTGGAAGAAAAGAATTTCTAAAATTTGCATACAGCTTTAGAGTTCACAAAGGCTAAGTTCATTCTTTGGGTCATACCGTGAATCAGCAAGCACTGCAGCATTACAGAGAAGGAAAGTGCATCTCAGAGAGGATGTGAGTTGGCCCCGAGCTCCCTGTTAGTAATTAGCTGGGACCCTCATGCAGGTCTTCACATTCTTAGCAAATGACCTGCAGTTTACTTGATTGGTGATGAGGAGGCAGAACACAAAGCCTAGATCTGAAAGAGAACGGCCCTAAACATGTAAGTTCTAACGAGGGGTAGCAGGGTTAGGAAAGGCAGTGCACATTCATGTGGTACAGAGGGGAAAGGGATGTGGACACCATAGCTAGGTGGGGGCGCTGGGGCGGAAGAGAAGGGCAACCACATCAGAGCAGCCGAGATTGGAGGATGCAGCTCTTTAAATGGCACGCTCTTCCTTCAAGAACAGGGATGACAACTGCCAAGTCACCGTGTGTCCTAAACCCGCTGCTGCAGAGAGTAAGCTCTGTGTGTCTGTCATCCCTAGGCCCTCGGACCCCTCCTTGGCCCCCTCAGAGGAAGGTGACCATTGAAAAGTCCTGGTAGGCAACAACAGAACTTTACGCTTAGAAACTCAGCTGGGCTACTGGGTTTCACCCGCTTCGGAGCAGGTTCTGCCTGGTAAAAATGTAGTTTTGCCACAGCTGTTGCTTGGAAATTTCACCAAATGTGACAGCAGCATTCATGTGTCTTTCTCTTAAAGACAGTTGAACTTTCAACACCCACGGCTCCTCCCCATATAAAAATGAAATTCCTGTGCCACCTGCGATAAACTGGTTTTAAATGACAAAAAGAAATATGTAGGATGGTGAGAACACCATTTCCCTAGAACTGCTCCCAGTTTGTAAAGTGATGTCTAATGCTTGTGGTAAGTTTTAAATGTAATATGTCTCAGCCTAAATAATAATGCTAGTTACCTATTAGGTTAGAAGGACATAGACTAATAGATTAAAAACTTAGTTTTGTAATTTCTCATCCTGCTACTAGCTTACTTAAGAAAAGCTGTCTTGTGCTGAATGCTGACTGGTTTGCTCAGTTTGGCCTGCTGTCTAAAGTGGTAGTAGGGGCCCTTTACATACATCATCGGAGACTAAGGGTGCTGACGGCATCTCCACTTCTCCCACTAATGAAGCCCCAACTGTGATTACACTTCCTGATCTTAAGTTTCACTGGGTTTATATATATAAATTTGTCTTCTAACTCTAGTCTCTTCTAAACACTTTGTAAAACTTTCCATCTTAATTGGGTTTTAATAAGGATCACTTTTCATGTCTATGTAATAGTAAAACAACAAATCTACTATTAAAACTTTATAAAAACCTTATGTAATCTGAAGCTTACTAACCAGTCCCTTGCCCATAGTTTAGGAATATCCGGACTAGTTTGAACTCGGCATAAACTCAGTAAGCTTAGAATTGCATCAATTTCAAGTGCTTCCCCCAGCAGTTCAAGGGACTCACTCCAAGTTTGCTTCGGGGGGTCATGTTTCGGCTGTGACTCCCCACAGCCAACCTAAGACTGAGTGACTTGGGCTTCTAGTGAGAATCACCCTCAGTCCTGCTGCTGCTGCTTTTAGCCGGGGTCCTGCCTAGGGTCTCAGCCAGCTCCAGACATGGTGGGGCCTGCTGCTGAGACAGTGGGAGCAAAGGGTCTCTTCAAAATTATCAATGGAGGAACCCAAAATTGACAGAGGTGAAGGGGCTCACTGCAAAGTTTAGTGCTGGGTGAGGGTCTCAGATTGGGCAGTTCTCATGGCTTTTGACACCTGTTGCATGGTTCTTACCAACCATCTAAAAGGTGTTTTCTACTTTGCCAAGTTTATTTGGAGATTTCTAAGATGTTCATCAGTCATTATTTCCACTAACGTTAAACCACTTAGGTGTGGTATCCACCTTCCTAACAATGTTCTTTCACTTTTGAAAATGACCTCTGGTTATTTAAAATGCACGCGTCCCCACACACTGTTGTTTGCAGGTGTTTTCATGGTGATTTCACTGCATTTTCGTAGCAGACTTAATTGCACAGCTAGTTACATGATTATACAGACCTTCAGCGTAACAAAACAAACTTGTGTCAATCCTATCATCTAGAATTCAAGGGAGCAGATTGGTTTTATCATCTGCATGTAACATTATTAGGCTTTGATGTCAGAATCACTCTCCATGGGTTGTTCATTTGTTTTTTCAGACAGTCTTGCTCTCTTGCCCAGGCTGCAGTGCAATGGTATCATCTTGGCTCACTGCAACCTCTGCCTCCCAGGTTCAAGCGATTTTTGTGCCTCAGCCTCCCGAGTAGCTGGGATTACAGCTGCGTGCCACTATGCCTGGTTAATTTTTGTATTTTTTGTAGAGACGTGGTTTCACCATGTTGAGCAGCCTGGTCTCAAACTCCTGACCTCAAGTGATCCGCTTGCCTCGGCCTCCCAAAGTACTGGGATTACAGGTGTGAGCCACCACGCCCAGCCTCTCCATGGGTGTTTTTTTTTTTTTTTTTTTGAGACAGAGTCTCGCTCTGTCATCCAGGCTGGAGTGCGGTGGTGCAGTCGCAGCTTACTACAACCTCTGCCTCCCCAGTTCAAGCGATTCTCCTGCCTCAGCCTCCTGAGTAGCTGGGATTACAGGTTCACAGTACCACGCCTGGCTAATTTTTGTATTTTTAGTAGAGATGGGGTTTCACCATGTTGTCCAGGCTGGTCTCGAACCCCTGACCTCGTGATCCACCCTCGGCCTCCCAAAGTGCTGGGATTACAGGCGTGAGCCACCGCGCCCAGCCTCCATGGGTTTTACTATGGCCTTGTTTCTGAATGACCTTTCCTTGGGTACTATGTCTGGGCTTGGGAGTTTCGCAGATGCAACGGGTTGACATCCAGTTTTGTTTTCTCCTATCAGTGAATTTAGGCTCTGCTTCCCTCTGCAAAGAGTGAAAGCGGACCACATCACAGTTCATGCCCAGGGTTTCCTCTGTGGTGCTTTCGTGGGCTTTCTTTCATTTGCAGAATTACTCTCACCTGCAGTTGTCCCATGTTTGCCTCTGTCCTTCCATGGCTCCAAACCTTGAAGCAGTAAAATATGTGCCAGGACCATTTCCCTGAAAACTGGAAGCCAAGAGCCCTGGCAGAGAGATTTTGACAGAGATGAACAAAATCATTATGTTGCACATGTATGAATGGGAGAACTGGGATGTGCTGAGACAGGGAAGGTGAACTCCCTGGGAGCTGGAAATTCGGATGGGAGACATAAGCTACTGGCTGGGCATGGTGGCTTATGCCTGTAATGCCAGCACTTTGGGAGGCCGAGGCGGGAGGATCACCTGAGGTCAAGAGTTTGAGACTAGCCTGACCAACATGGCGAAACTCCCATCTCTACTAAAAATATAAAAATTAGCCGGGTGTAGTGGCACATGCCTGTAATCCCAGCTACTCAGGAGGCTGAGGCAGGAGAATTACTTGAACCTGGGAGGCAGAGGTTGCAGAGAGCCAAGATTGCACCATTGCACTCCAGCCTGGGTGGCAAGAGTGAAACTCCGTCCCAAAAAATAAGACGAGAAAGAAGGAAGGCTACTGTAAAGCAGATCGAGTTTCAGGACTTTCTAAACACTGGTAAAGAGGAAATTTGGGAGTTTAGAGCAAGTTTTAGAACTGTGCTCTGAGCATCTGCCTGAATACAGGACTTTTATCTCATTGGGCATTTGCACCCTGCTTCATTCCAGTGGGGATGTGAAGCAGCAAGTGAGAGGAGTTGCGTGCTTGCTTGTCAAAAATGCTGAAGCATTAGTTAAGTGGAGTCACACTGTAGGCTGTGTGTGGAGAAGCTGACATCACTGAGAATGCAGAAAACAAGTATGTGATTGGCGCCAGTGAGTGCACAGAAATAAGTCTGGGAGAGGAAACTCAACCCATGAGTCTTCCCTAGCTGGTGCATTTACCCAGCATTCACTTAGCACCTACTATGAGGTAAGCACCATTGAGGAAGGTGCCAAGGTGTGGAGAAGGAGGTCACTGCCCTTTGGCGTTTGTCACCTAGATGGGGAGTCCAGGCACTAACCTGGGGGAATCTGCCCATGGCCTTGGGCAGTGTGACTGTGCGAGGGCCCTGAGGGGGTCAGAGAGGCCAGTTCGGCACCCCAGAGATTCTGTCTCATAAGAGGATACAGGACTTCAGATCAGCTTTGAAGGGTCGGTGGGAAAGAGGAGAGAAAAAAATCCGTTTACCCAGCGTATTTGACACTGTGTTTGCCCTTCTAGAAGGCAGTGCACAGTACTCAATAGGCCTCAATGCAGCGGGGGAGCTGGGTTGTGGCCTTGCCCTTATTTTGTTGGTTAAATCCATTGGAGGAAGAAGATCCTGTCTGACCTCATGCCGTCTCCGGCACTCTTGCTACCATCTGATAGTTCAAGTGCTTGCGACTTTGCTCTCCCTCGATCATTTGATTCATCCACCTGAGGATGTGGCGGGTGGGCTTCCTACCAGGGTTTTCCTGTGGGGAGATGACCGGGGAAACAGGGAGGAAATCCTAATTATGGCTTGTCCTCTTCCCTGAATTACTGTCTAGGACAAAGAGTAGTTCCAATGTAAACAAGACGGGTTGGAGACGGTTTGTATAGGGCGGGAGGCCCATCCAGAATGCCTACCCAGAGAAGACAGTACCTAAAACCTGTTTGCAACGTTTGCCCAATTACCCTACTCTGGCCTTTCTTTGTGTGTTGAGAAGCTGGAAATCCAGGCTGGTCTCCCTTTCTTCCCTTTTTCACTAACCCCAAGCTGTCAGACATTGAAATCAGGAACTGTTTTCTAGTATTCTAAGTCCTAGTCCTGGCAACTGTGCCTAGCCCTCTACAGTTTGCGTCCAGTTACCACACTAGAGGCTCAAGACAGGCAAGTTTCATAATCCCCAGTTTTCAGATGAGGAGTTGGGATTGGGGTTAGGGTTGGTGCCAAACCTGGAAGATATCAGTCTCTCATTTTTGTTGTTCTTGTTGTTGGTTGCACTTTTCAGAACCAAGAGCCACTGAGAGAGGAAGACTCCGATTTCATCCTGACCGAAGGCGACCTGACATTGACGTACGGGGACAGCACAGTGACTGCAAATGGCTCCTCAAGTTCGCACACCGCCTCCACGAGTCTGGAGGGCAGCCGGAGAACGAAGAGCAGCTCGGAGGAAGTGCTGGAGCGAGACCTGGGAATGGGAGACCAGAAGGTTTCGAGCCGAGGCACCCGCCTAGTGTTTCCTCTGGAAGATAATGCTTGACTTTCCCCCCAAACCCTGGCACGATGGGGTAGGCTCCCGATGGGGTGAGGACGGCCTAGTGTTGTTTGAGGTGGGGCAGTGACTAGGTTGAACTAACTCTTCTATTTTATTGGGGTCTGAAGCTATCGTAACACTTAAAATTTAATTCACAATGCAGATGGTGAGGCAAAAGTGTCTCTAAATTCAGACAAACATAGACCTATTCCCACTTTTTTTTCACATAGTGCGCTGTTTCAGAGTTAAACAAAAAAATAGCATGCTTTAATGGTCTCCTAATTCATTCACCTGCAGTATCTGAACAAGGCGAGGCAGGTGCTGGGCGGGGGATTCCTCCCATGAGAGGCTGCATCTCAGTACACAGCAGTGCAAGTCAAGCTGACCATAGAAATATCAAGTTAAAGAGAAGGAAGGCAATTGAGATCGGAACTCCAAGGATTATGGGAAACTGATGTTAAATGGGACAGAAAACATGAAAAAGCAATTTGAGTGGAGGCTCTGGCAACGAAGGCTGCTTGACTGCAACCTCATATCAGCATTCCTGACTTTATGCTGCCTGTGTTTTTTCTAGACTGAAGATTTGAAAATACATCCATGAACATTTCAACATGGAACAAAGAATTATAGTTCCTTCTCTGGTGATATCCATAAAGAAGTAGTTATGAAATGTTTAAAACCAAAGGCAAATAGTGTTATACTCTTATTTTTTAATTAATCTGAGGAAAGGAGGTATTTAGAAACTGATGATGGTACCACTGCAAAAAGCATTCAACTTTTTTTTTTTTTTTGAGATGGAGTTTTGCTCTTGTCGCCCAGGCTGGAGTGCAGTGGCGTGGTCTCGGCTCACTGCAACCTCTGCCTCACGGATTGAAGTGATTCTCCTGTCTCAGCCTCCTGAGTAGCTGGGATTACAGGCGCCCACCACCATGCCCAGCTAATTTTTTTGTATTTTTGGTAGAAACGAGGTTTCACCATGTTGGCCAGGCTGGTCTCAAACTCCTGACCTTGTGATCCACCTGCCTTGGCCTCCCAAAGTGCTGGGATTACAGGTGTGAGCCACTGCACCCAGCCAGCATTCAACTTCTGAGGGCCGCCATATGAGCTGACAGCCTAGGGAAATAATCACTAGGACTGAAGTATGTACTGTGGGTTTAGAAGTAACACCACATTTTGTAGGATGCTATAATCTGGGCAAGAGAAGGCAGCAAGAAACCTACAAGGCACCAGGCTAGAATTCAGAGGGAAAGAAATCCCAATGCAAAAAAATTAACTGCAAAGAAATACAACACAGTAGTCTCAAGACTGGGTAGAATTCCAAACTTTGAGCTGATGAATGCATGAGATTTCAGTGGCCACCTGAGGAGTCAGAGGGCAGACAATGGAACATTAAGTCTTTTCAGCTCACTAGAAAGTTCTGTCTTCTATGAGCTTAAGAATCCGAGTGTCTTTATGCCACTGAGTGCCATGCAGAGAAGGGTCATTTTCCTTATATCTGGGGAGGTTGCTGCACCAGCTTAACATGTGGGTGTGATTTGAAAGTTAGGTTTTCAGTTTGGGTTCTTTCTGGATGAGCTGTTCTGTCTGTCTACACCTGTAGTGCTGAAATACAGAAAGACCTCTCGGGAAAAGTTTGAGTTTCTCCCCATGTCTCTGTGCTTCAGTGCTAGCTTTTTTCTGGCAACCCAATTTCTAAAAAATGCTTTCAATAACGTGGGCATTTTTCTTTTTTTTCCTCTTTCTTTCTTTTTTTTTTTTTTTTGAGATGGAGTCTCGCTGTGTCACCCAGGCTGGAGTGCAGTGGCACGATCTCGGCTCACTGCAACCTACGCCTCCCAGGTTCAAGCGATTCTCCTGCCTCAGCCTCCTGAGTAGCTGGGATTACAGGCACCCGCCACCACGCCTGGCTAATTTTTTGTATTTTTAGTAGAGACGGGGTTTCACCATACTGGCCAGTTTTTCTTATGATGGCAGACAAAACAGTGTCCCAGTCTAGTCCACCCATAGTGAAATCAGCCATTTAATCTTCTCAATTCTCATGTTTAATGCTTAATTTTTAAATAAGACATTGCTTCACAACTTTGTGTTTGAATTGATAATTTGTGCAAATCAGGAAAATACCTATTTAATTAGGTTGAGCCATATGAATTTGCTGCTATTTGACCATTTTGTAAAAGCAGTAGTGGGAATTTCATGTGGTTCAATAAAATAAAATTGAGACCGGGCACCGTGGCTTATGGCCATAATCACTTTGGGAGGCTGAGGCAGGAGGATCACTTGAGCTCAGGAATTCAAGACCAGACTGGGCAACGTGGCAAAACCCTGTTTCTACAGAAATACAAAAATGAGCCAGGCATGGTGGCACATGCCTGTAGTTCCAGCTACTTGGGAGGCTGAGGCGGGAGGATCGCTTGAGCCCAAGAGGCAGAGGTTGCAGTGAGCTGAGATCATGCCACTGCAATCCAGTCTGGGCAACAGAATGAGACCCTGTCTCAAAAAAAAAAAAAAAAAATACAGTTGAATGATTTTTATTCTCCTCTTTCCTTTTTATCTACAATAAAGTTCATTTTGATTGTATGGTCATCCATGGTTTTTGGAAGTTTGAAAAATGCTAAACAACCTACTCAAACCCATGAGGCCTCAGGGTTAACTAGGCTAGTGAAGGACTTAAGAATAAGACCTACACCCCACCCCACAGCCAGAGAAAGAGCTTTCATAGCCCCTGGAAGGGAAGTTCTTATATGCTGGGGTGAAGTTGCAGACAGCAGCTACCAGGCATGGCAGAGGCCTGTATTATCTATGTGCTGGAGTCCAGAACCAGCACAGGATTTTTTATTTAGCAGAGTTAGTAATGACCAGTCATGCCATATAAATCTAAAAGGCAAGGCTTGTTTTGTTTTCATTTTTGTTTTTGTTTTGCAGAGATGGAGAGAGAGGCTGCTTGGCTCTTTGGTTGGGTCTTTATAAAGCTTTGCTCATCTTATATTGCTTACTTAATTTTGGAGGGAAAACGCTAACAGACACACCCTGGTGATGGTTCTTTGTTCACCTCAAGGCCTTGTTGTTATGTTGTTGTTGTTTGTTTTTTTTTGTGTGTGTGTGTATGTTTGTTTTGTTTTGTTTTGAGATGGAGTCTTGCTCTATCCCCCAGGCTGGAGTGCAGTGCCATGATCTCGGCTTACTGCAATCTCCACCTCCCAGGTTCAAGCGATTCTCCTACTTCAGCCTCCCGAGTAGCTGGGATTACAGGTGCCCACCACCACACCCAGCTAATTTTTTTGTATTTTTTAGTAGAGATGGGGTTTCACCATGTTGGCCAGGATGGTCTTGATCTACTGACCTCGTGATCCACCCGCCTCGGCCTCCCAAAGTGCTGGGATTACAGGTGTGAGCCACCGCCCCCAGCCATTATTTTGTTTTGTTTTGTTTTGTTTGTTTTTTTTGTTTTGTTTTTAGAAAGCTTTTACAAGATTACAAGAAATGACTCTCTTACGGAAGAAAAATAACCACCCAGTTTCCCTTCCTAGTCTTCGTTCAATTCATAGAGTGTTGTGTTTATCCCCAAAGGGTCTTGTAGTCTTCATTGCAAACATTTGATTCTGATCTACTCACACACAAGGAAATGTAGATTTGCCAAGACCAAAACTAGAGGGGCGGGCTTCCCATCAGGGTTTTCCTGTGGGGAGATGACAAGAGAAACAGGGAGGAAATCCTAATTATGGCTTGTCCTCTTCCCTGAATTGCTGTCTACGACAGTGTAGTTTAAATGTAAACAAGGTGGGTTAGGGATGGTTTGTGTAGGGCAGGAGGCCCACCCAGAAGGCCTACCCAGGGAAGAGAGGGCCCAGAACCTAGATGCAGCATTTGCCTAGTAACCCTACCCCGGCCTTTCTTTGTATGTTAGGAAGCTGGAAATGCAGGCTGGTCTCCCTTTCTTGCCTTTGTCACTAACCCCGAGCTGTCAGCCATTTGGAATCAGAACTGCTTTCCAGTGTTCTAAGTCCTTATTTGATTACAAATATTTGGTGAATCAAAGTAAGGCACTTTGGTCCTAATTTTTGACCTTTGGTCCTAATTTTTGTTTGTAGTTTGTGGAGAATAACCCTGACCTTACCAGGGGTCCTGGGAATGTGAATCCATTCATCAAGTGGTTCCACATCTAGAAGCATTTTGCCTATGCCGTGTGGAGAAAAGTAGAGTGCCACAAAGCCCAGGCATCATTCAACACGAGGCCAACTATCTGCTGCCAGTCTGGCATAAGATCAGATTGAAACTGCTAAGTAATGGTACATCCAACTAAACAAAGTCCTTCCAAGAGAGTAAACCCAAGTCATCTTATACACGTATTTGTTCTGGGTTGGCGGGGATGACAGTTCAGCAGAGTCCGATGTTCTAGAGCAGAGGTTCTCAACCCTGGCTGTAAATTAGGATCATCTGGCCAGTTTTTGTTTTTAAATCAGTGCAAGGGCCCTCCCCTCAGAGATTCGGATTCAGTAGCTTCAGATGGGACCTGGAATCCATGCTTTGTTTGGAACCTCAGGAGTGGAGTGTCCTTGATGTGCAGCCAGGATTGACAAGAGCCTTTAGTCTAGGGCTTGCAGCAGACCCTATTTGGAATCTGATTTTAAAGAATGGTCCAGCAGATGAAGGTTTTTTTTTTTTTTTTTTTTTTAAATTGTTAGTCATGTGAAACAAACTGAGTATTGACCAATAATACAGGCTGGGCAGCTATGAGAGAGTTTGATGCTAATCTTTGCAGAACTCAAGAACATACTCCATACAGTACAGCTGAAAAGATCACGAAAACCTTGGAGTCTTCAACGAGAGAGAAGGGTGACTTGGAATATGTATGGGGAGAATTAAAAACCTGCCATCTTGGTTCCCACTTGTGGGGAATAAAGGGAAGGTATTAACTGAGCTGCTGACTAATCAAGCATGAAGGTTTCTGGGAAGCTGTTTTGTTTTTAATTTCACCTGGAATTAAATTAATAGTCCCCTCTGGAGTCAGATTTTCTTTCCCTTCACCTGGCCTCATGCCTGAGTCCACATTGGATTCCTCAGAGTAAGGGTGGGCCCGTTTACTGCTGGAGCAAAGTAGAAGGTTGTGGTCCTTTGCTATCACATGGTGATGGTGGTAGTTTCTGTAGCAGGTGATTAAGGAGATGCACACTTTTGTGTAGCCTTGACAGAGAGAAGATGAAAGCTGCTATTCCTTTTAGTACACTTTTTGAGAACTACCAGAAACCTAAACTTTCTCTCCTAGAGAAGAAAATTTGGAATTTAAATAAGGCCACATTTCTTCCTAGGAAACAAGCACAGGAAGGGCATATGGATCCGAGCATCCAGGGTGGTTACTGGGGTGATGAGACAAATAAGCATTGATGCCTGGAAGGCAGAAATCACACTGTGACATCAAATGTTTCATCAAGCAAACAGCAAGGAGCTCTTCAGGCTGTGTTCTCTAGACCCGAAAATGTCCTCTGTGGTTTGGCTGACAAATGGAATCTCTTTAGAAAACATGCAAAAGGGTATCTTAGCTATCCATGAACGATTCAGTCTAGGACAAAGAACTAACAGTTCCAAAATAGAGGTCTGTTGGTCTGTTTCACGTCATCCCGTCATCCTATCTCTCCCTGTCCTTGTCTGCAGTGGAAGTTAATGTAATCATACCAGATGTTTAATGTGAACAAGTGATTTCCAAATGTAGAAACACCACTGATGTACTTAGGGGGAAAAACAGTGGCAGGGTGTTAGAGCATCTCATCAGAGGTGAAAATCACCCACTTGGAAACCTACCGTGTACCCGTTGTGAGTTCTAAGAGTGTATCAGAAAGCTGATTTTACCATCTGTTGTGAAAGATTGTCTGCAATGAGGGCTGCTAGGAAGTCAGCCTACTGATCTCACAAGTATATGACTTCTTATTCCACTTCAAAAGTGGGGAACTTGACAAGTTTCTTGTCTGCCTTTTGATGTTGATTCTATAGATTCATTAGTTCAGGAAAAAGTCTTTCATATACATTAGACTGGTATCATTGAGTTCTGATCTCTTCTGTTGTTCTTTAACTGACACTCTGGCTTGCCAGTGTCAGCTGCTACATTCTGATAGAGTGAAGTCGAAGGAATCTAGTGGCCAAGAGTCGTAGTTTAGAAACAACCCATCTGAATACTGCCTTTACCACTTTGATACCTGAAAAGATCGTCCCTGTTTCTAAAACCTGAAAACAACATATAGAGAAATACTGTAGAAACCAATGCTAGTGGCTTAACTAGGAAAAGCAAGTAGACTCATCAACAGTCCTTTCAAAACAAGACCTAAACAATTTTTTCCAGTTTCAATTTTCATAGACATTTTTAAAAAATTAAACACACCTTGTCACCCAGTGCTAGCAAAAATTGTAAAGAGCAAAACCAAAGTTTTTGATGTTAGTCTTATTTTTGTAAGCAGGGTATACTATAGTCATGGCCCATATGGAACACACAGGCAGCCGGTTTTCTGCTACCTGAGCCTTGGAGAAGATGAAAAGGAAGGGCTGTCTGCTGTGCTGCCCTTTGAAAAGGTCCAAAGCAGACATGAGAACACACAGCAGAAGTCACCTTCTCCTTCTGATGACCGCCTTTCAAAAGGCTTAACAGAATCACCAAATGTCACGGTCAGCTATTGGCCAGTGGAAAATTGTCTGGGCCTGTATATGTTGGAGGAACTCAGATAGAAAAGGACTTGTAAACAGCATGGAAACTTCAACATCTGCTGTCTCCAGCACTTGAATGAGGCTACAATTCAGGTGTTACTGGATGACTTAACTGCACGGACATTTGGGGGCTGACTTGTGATTATTCCAATTGTGGGCTTTGGAGAAGCAGAGGGATGGTTTTCAGTTGTGCGGGTGTTAAGTCTACGGATTGGGAATTTACCACTGAAATTGATCGTTCAAAGTGTGACTTCATAGTAGGGCCAGCTCCTCCTAAGTTGTCCTTTTGTTTTTCACATAAAATACATCTGGTACTTTTTACTTGTGAAGTTGTACTATGTCCATGAAAATAGTTAAATGAGAAGGCCATCAAGATTCATTTAATAGCTGAAAAGCAATTTTTAAAATAGAATAGGACAAATTTAACATGGAATGATGTGACCTAGGGAACTTTTTATAGAGAGCTTACATACTGTAATTGGGGAGAATTTTGTCTTCTATTTCCATTGAACAGTAGCAAACTGGTGGTTTTATAAAATTAACATTATAGTATGTTATATAAATAAATGTTATATAAAATGACATTAAAGTATAACTGTGAAAAATTAAAGACTTGGAGTTATCCACAACCTTTATGTGCAATAAGGAAAACTGCAGTAGGCCCCCAAAGTGCTGTCTTTCCCTAGCATTTTACTCAATGTTTGCCTTTGTGTATGTTTAGATTGTTATTGTAAAGCTAGCCATGTGTGTTCCTGCCCTTTACTGATATTTAACACATTTTCTCAAAGCTTTTTTTTTTTTTTAACAAAACTCAAAATAAAACAACTAACTGGCTGAGCTAATTTTGTTTTGTATTTTAAAGTATCATCTGTTGGTAGAAGGCTGTAGTGCGATACTATTCTTAGTCTGTTTCCCTCACTGAGAGGTTCTTTTCTGGGTGTAACTATTCCTCTCCAGCTTTCTTTAGGCCTGGGGTTGGCAAACTACAGCTGGCTCCTGAACCAAGTCCAGCCCATTGCCTTTTTTTGTAAATAAAGTTTTATTGGCATGACTAGGCTCATTGATTTGCTTACTGTCTGTGGCTGCTTTCCTGCTACAGTGACAAAGCTGAGGAGCTGCAACAGAGATCATATGGCCCATAAAAACTAAACTGTTTACTATCTGGGCCTTAACAGAAGTTTCTGCTAGCCTGTGATTTAGATGCTTGAAGAAATTCAGTTTTAAAATAGGGCTGGGCGCAGTGGCTCACACCTGTAATCCCAGCACTTTGCGAGGCCGAGGTGGGCGGATCACCTGAGGTCAAGAGTTCAGGACCAGCCTGGCCAGCATGGTGAAAGCCCGTCTCTACTAAAAATACAAAAATTAGCCAGGCATGGTGGCACGCACCTGTAGTCCCAGCTACTCGGGAGGCTGAGGCAGGAGAATCACTTGAACCTGGGAAGTGGAGGTTGCAGTGAGCCAAGATTGCGCCACTGCACTCCAGCCTGGGTGACACAGTAAGACTGTCTCAAAAAAAAAAAAAAAAAAAGGATGTAAAAATCACAGCAACAGATTTTTGAGACTTTCTAAAATGTGCATTAGGGGTTAAAAGATATACTTTAAATCTAGCCTCTGCCTGTGACTCCTCCTTGCCTGTAATCATCTTTAACAGGCTTTGAATGTAGAATCCTGAAAGAGGCATTACCAACTGTTGGCAACATCAACTAGTAAGACTGAAGCAAGTGGATTTGACATTGCAGCTTAATGCTTAGGTTTGTACTGGATAATTGCTGAAATTCTTAAACCCAATATACAGTTTCTTCCACAGTCTTCATATTCCTCTGTATGTAGACTAGCTTTTACCCAAACCATGCAATTGAACTGCATCCAAACAAAACAAATCCTGTCATTAACATGACTCCAAAGTCATTTAATAGTATAATTACAAAAACACCAGATAGAAAAATTTAAAAGTAAAAATGTGTTTCAGTTCATTAGGGTTCTCCCAGCCCAGGGAGAAAAATTACTTTTTAAAAGTCAGTTCTGGGTAGACGGAGCTATTTGAAGGACAGCCGGATGAGTCAGTTTAAAAACAATACTGCCCAGACCTATTATTTAATATTAAGTAATTTAATCAAGATAGACAGGACTGCAGTTGGCCCTTATTCACATTGATGTTTTCATCCAGACACCTGCTGATGTGAAATGGTACCAAATCACATCTCTTCTTTGTTGTGAGGACGCCTTGTTGAAATGAAATGGCTCCAGCAGTGGCAGGTTCAGCCTGGGAACTTAAGCTCTTCCTATTTTACGGCCATAAATATCCACATTGCACTGTCACTTCCTTACTGGAAACTTCATCTCAACCAATGCATCTGTCATTATTGAACAGCTCATGATATTCCTGCTCAGCAGAATTGCACAGCAGTTGGTAGCAAGTCAACTCCCAGACTCTGACAGTGTGACAGATTGCCTCCACAGTGCTGCTTCTCCAGTGCTGAGGCAGCATGCCGAGTGCCCTGGTTCATGGTGACTGACCTGGAAGGGAAGGAACAAAGGATGTCTGAACTTCAGAACACAGAAATCCCCAGAAAGAAAGTCTGTTGGACCCTGACAACATAAGTCCTTTTAAATCAGAAACCTATCATCTTCCAAACCCATACCGAATCAGTATCAATCATTTCTGGTTTGTGAAGACAGACCAGGAGAAAATGACCCAAGAGGTCACTGGGTGAGGGTGAAGATGGGAAAAATCTGAGGGCGCCTCTGTTAGCATGGCTGTGCTTTCTGTAGCTGCTGTTGTGGAGCACCTGCTGAGGAGAACAGGGCTTTCTGGAACCTTCTGGGTAGCGTGTGGGAGGAATTGGGATTGAAGTCATACCTTTAGGCACCAACCATGTACCCATCCATTCTTCACTCATGTACCAGTTCATATGTGCAAAATGTCAACAGCAACTGACAATTCTATACAACTGAGGCTGTAGATAGGCAGTGAGTCCAGCTTTCTACCTTTGTGGCACCTGAACTTTTTCTTCTTTCATTTAAACACATTGCTTGTGTCACTCTACGTGAGCAGTGGAAAGTGGGCTGACTCCAGTGTGTCTGTACTAGTCCTGTCACCAGTTTCTTGCTCTCCTGTGATCCTTCCTCTGATCTTGGATGTGTACCAAATTTGACATTTTCTAATGGAGTGAAACTGTCCATCAGCTTAATAGAACTACTGATGCAAAGTTTGGGAAAGGCAGTTTCAAGAGGATTTAAAATGTGCAATAAAGAGTCACACTAAGCATTAAGGAAAAGCTAATTTCATAAATGCTTTGAGGCCTTTCTATAAGTCTTTTTTTTTTTTTTTTTTTTTATTTTTTGAAACGGAGTCTCACTCATGCCCAGGCTGGAGTACAGTGGCATGATCTAAGCTCACTGCAACCTCCACCTCCTGAGTTCAAGCAATTCTCCTGCCTTAGCCTCCTGAGTAGCTGGGATTACAGGCGTGCACCGCCACACCTGGCTAATTTTTTGTATTTTTAGTAGAGACAGGGTTTCACCATGTTGGCAAGGCTGGTCTCGAACTCCTGACCTCAAGTGATCCACCTGCCTTGGCCTCCCAAAGTGCTGAGATTACTGGCATGAGCCACTGTGCCCCGCCCCTTTCTATAAATCTTTAGTATTTTGCTAGTACACGTTTCATTAAAGGGCTATATATGCAAAGTGACCCCCAAACTCAGAAGGGGCTGAGAAACCAAAGAAGGAGGCAGAGAAGTCCAGCTTGTCATCACAGGATGATTTTATCGGGGAACTTATGGACAGAAGTATGGTCTTGAGCAGCTACAAAGCAGGTATATCTCCACGCCATTAGCCCCCACCCCCAGACCCAGGGATTGTATACCAAAGGAAAAGGTACACGTGCTTCAGAGGAAATGAGTAGCAGTTTGATCTAAGAGCAGAATTTATGGTAAGGATGTGCTCTTACACAAGGAACAATAGATGAACTGGAAATCTCAGAGGCATTCCTGGAACCAAGGTTAATCACAAGTCAACATGGTGGATTAGCATCCAAGATGGAGTTACTTTAGCCTCCACAACAGGTTACTTACATAAAGAAAGAGACACCATGTCAAATTTCAGTCTTTAATAAAACCCAATTTCCAGATGGGCCAACTTTTTTTTTTTTTTTTAAGACAGAGTCTAGCTCTGTCACACAGGCTGGAGTGCAGTGGTGTGATCTCGGCTCACTGCAATCTCCACCTCCCGGGTTCAAGCGATTCTCGTGCCTCAGCGTCCCGAATAGCTGGGATTACAGGCATGCACCACCACGCCCAGCTAAGTTTTGTATTTTTAGTAGAGACAGGGTTTCACCATGTTGGCCAGGCTGGTATCAAACTCCTGACCCCAGGTGATCTGCCTGCCTCAGCCTCCCAAAGTGCTAGGATTACAGATGTGAGCCACTGCGCCTGGCCAGATGGGCTGACTTCTAGTTGACAAGATGGAATCATGCACTTCTCCTTATTCCTCCCACAAAGTGTATAACTAAAAACTCCAAATATTATGTATAAAACAAAGATAAGAGTCTGAAGGGTGGAGAGAAGAAGGTCGACTGACTGGGAACCTTGGCAACTGAGGAATACCGTGACCCTGAGTTTTCTTTCTGCCGCCTCTATATCCTGAATGTTGTGTGCTAAAGAAGCCAGCAAGCCAGAAATGCCAATTGTGAGAGACACACACAAAAAGGCCCTGAAAAAAGCCTGTTACCTCTAGCCAAAGGATAGGAAAAGGTTCACTCTAAAAAGACAGAAACCAAGCAAAAAAAAAAATCCCCTCTCCCGTGAGCAAAGCCCTAGTGGGAAGCCCGGATCTCTGGACTGCCACCTTGACCTGGCAGTAACCAGGTGATGTGCCCCTTTCTCCACCAGTGTGGTGTCAGTGGAGGCCTGCTAAAATAGAAGATTTAAGTAACATTTGGAGATTCATAAGATAATTCTCCCAGTGTCCAGGACAATACAAAGAGCACTTGTCAAACCAAGAACCAGGCAAATGTCAGCTCGAATGAGAGAAGACAACTAATACATACCAACACTGAGATGACACAGATGTTGAAATTACCTGAAACAGATTTTAAGTGGCAATCATAAACATCCTCAATTAGCCATTACAAACACACTTGAAACAAATGAAAAAATTGAAATTCTCAGTGAAGAAATACAGTTTTTTAAAAAGCTACCAAATGGAAATTGTAGAACTGTAAAATACAATCATGAAAATTTGAAAAACTCACTGGATGGGCTCAATAGCAGAATAGAGATGATAGAGTAAGGACTTAGTGAAACTAAAAATAGAACAATAGAAATTATCCAATCTGAACAACAGAAAATAGAGTTAAAAAAAAGATAAACAGAGCCTCAGGGGCCTGAGGAACCATAATAAATGATCTATCATGCATGTCATCGAAGTTCCAGAAAAAGAGACTGAAAAACTACTTGAAATACGGCTGAAAATTTCCCAAATTGGCAGAAGACATAAATTTACAGGTTCAAGAACTTGAGCAAACCCCAAAGAAGAAAAACTCAAAGAAATCTACACCAAGCCATGGCATACTCAAACTTCAGAAAAGCAAAAACAAAGAAAAAAATCCTGAAGGCAACTAGAGAGAAATGACACATTAATTATGGGAACAACAATATGAATGCCAACGGATTTTGTATCTGAAAGCATGGGGGTCAGAAGGAAGTGACACGACAGTTTTCAAGTGCTGAAAGAAAATATCTGCCAATCCAGATTTTTCTTTTTCCTTTTTTTTTGGACAGAGTCTCATTGTCGCCCAGGCTGGAGTGCAGTGGCGTGATCTCAGCTCACTGCAACCTCCGCCTACTGGGTTCAAATGATTCTCGTTCCTTGGTCTTCCGAGTAACTGGATTATAGGCACCCGCCACCACACCCAGCTAATTTTTGTATTTTTAGTAGAGACGGGGTTTCACCATGTTGGCCAGGCTGGACTTGAACTCCTGACCTCAAGTGATCCACCTGCCTTGGCCTCCCAAAGTGCTGGGATTACAGGCGTGAGCCACAGTGCCCAGCCTCGATCCAGATTTCTATATCCCATGATAATATCCTTCAGGAATGAAGGTGAAATAAAGACATTTTCACATGAAAGAAAACTAAGATAATTTTTGTCAATAGAACTTTTATAAAAGAATTGCTAAAGTTCTTCCCCAGAGAAAGGAAATGATAAAAGGAGGCTTGAAATATCACACATGAAGAAAGAACAACGGAAAAGGTAAAATATGAGTAAATTTAATAGACTGTTCTCTTGAGTGTTTAAAATTATTTTTGATGGTTGAGGCAAAGTAACATTGTATGATGTGGTTCTCAATATATGTAGAGAAAATTTTTAAGAGGCTATTTAAGGGGCAGGATAAAGGAACCTAAATGGAGATTAATTTTCTACATTTCACGGAGGTAGTAAGATGTTGACACCAGTAGACTGTGATAAGTTATGTATAATTCAAAGAAACCGCTAAAATAAACATACAAAGAGATACACTCAAAAACACTACAGATAAAATGAAATTCTAAAAAATGCTCAAGTAACTCAAAGGCAGATAGGAAAAGGAAAACAAAGGAATAAAAACAGAGGGAACAAACAAATCAAATTGAAGTCCCAAAATATCAATAATTAGATTAAATATAAATGGTTTAAATATATAAACTAAAAGAGATTGGCAAAATGGATTTAAAAACATTACCATTAATTTCTAATGCAATGAGGTAGGTTAAAAGTAAAAGGCTGAAAAGGATACACCATACAAACAATCAAAAGAAAGGAAGAGTAGCTATATTAATATTAGAAAAAACAGACTTCAGAGCAAAGAAAATTACCAAGGACAAAGAAGAATGTTACATAAGGTTTAAAGAGTCAATCCACAAATAAGACATAGCAATCCTAAATATGTACAGAGCAAATAGCAGAGCTTCAAATTTCCTGAAGCAAAAACTGAAAACAGAAAGAAGAAATGGACAAGTCTATATTTATAGTTGAAAACTTCAACACCATTCTTTCAACAAATGATAGACTCACTAGACAGAAAGTCAGTAAGGATACAGAAAGACTGAACAGTAACATCAACCAATAGAATTGAACTGACATTTATAGAACATTCCACCTATTAACAGTAGAATACGCATTATTTTTAGGCATACATGGAACATTCACAACATGAACCTATCCTGGTCCACAAAACAAATCTGAACAAATGTTTTAAAAATTGAAATAATAGTAATAAATTAAATAACCATAGTGTAATCAAACTGGAAGTCAATAACAGAACGATAGCAGGAAATTATCCAGAAATTTTAAAATTAAAGAACATACTTAAACATAATTCATTGAAAATAAAACTATATTGAATGAAAATGCAACATCAAAATTTGTGAAGCTAAGAGAAAAATGTGTAACACTAGATACATGAGAAAGAAAGAAAGATCTCAAATCAATAATCTACGTACTTACCTCAAGAAACTGGATGATTTTTTTAAAAACCCAA